GTGTGTGTGTGCCACACAGCGCCGTGTGTGTGTGTGCCACACAGCGCCGTGTGTGTGTGTGCCACACAGCGCCGTGTGTGTGTGTGCCACACAGCGCCGTGTGTGTGTGTGCCACACAGCGCCGTGTGTGTGTGTGCCACACAGCGCCGTGTGTGTGTGTGTGTGCCACACAGCGCCGTGTGTGTGTGCCACACAGCGCCGTGTGTGTGTGCCCCACAGCGCCGTGTGTGTGACACACAGCGCCGTGTATAGCGTGCGTGAGGCAGCATGTCTTTGTTTAATACGGGCGTCTACAGCGCGCTTGTATACCACACATGACTCTGTATATCACACATACCTCTGTGTACTTCATTGATTCCTGTATAGACCAAGGTAATTCCTGTATAGACCAAGGTAATTCCTGTATAGACCAAGATAATTCCTGTATAGACAGACACTGAGAGTAATGAGTGACACTTTGTCTCAATTACAATTCACTCCCTACTCGTGGTGTAAGTTAAGCGTGTCAATATTTATACAATAAGACACATTTGTTTTTCCGAGTGTAAGCAGCACAATTGTAGGTCCCCACACCCACGCAGTGTGCGTCAGGAATAGCACAGCGCTGTGGGGGTTAAGATCCCCTCCGTCCCCCCCACACCCCACAAACAATTGAGTGATATGTGGTGTATGAAGTGTATTATACGTGTACACGGTATGTGTACACGGTATGTGTACACGTACCGGTATGTGTACATACAGTATGTGTACACGTACCGGTATGTGTACACGGTATGTGTACACGTACCGGTATGTGTACACGGTATGCGTACTCGTACCGGTATGTGTACACGTACCGGATGTGTACACGTACCGGTACGTGTACATACATTATTTTCACGGTTCCAAATTTTCGTGTTGTATCATATTTACGTGTATCATGTACTTATTTCCGCCTAATTTTCAGTGTTCAATGCTTCCTGTAACTTGAAAATGAATGTTTTCACATTCGAAACGTCGTAAATAAATTAAATTACTTCATATAAACTGCATTTTATCAACCAGCGTCATCTGAAGAATATTGTTCGACCTTGAAAATTTTATACATTAAATTCTCTGGTCATTAACAACTCGTGTTTTAACAAGCTTATTCTACTATCTTAATACACTTATCTAATACACGCACTTATCTAATATACAGTATGCGTATATATACGTAGCATATATGGAGTGATGTGTGGTATATGCACCGTGAGTTGAAACTTGCGTGTTTGAATGTTAGCGTTTAAACTTTTTTGTTGGTACTCCAGTGCCCCCACTACCGTACCCTCTTGCCCCCACTACGGTACCCTCGTGCCCCCACTACCGTACCCTCTTGCCCCCACTACGGTACCCTCGTGCCCCCACTACCGTACCCTCGTGCCCCCACTACCGTACCCTCGTGCCCCCACTACCGTACCCTCGTGCCCCCACTACGGTACCCTCGTGCCCCCACTACCGTACCCTCGTGCCCCCACTACCGTACCCTCGTGCGCCACTAACGTACCCTCGTGCCCTCACGTACCCTCGTGCCCTCACTACCGTACCCTCGTGCCCTCACTACCGTACCCTCGTGCCCTCACTAACGTGCCCTCGTACCCTCACTAACGTACCCTCGTACCCTCTGTAATGTACCCTCGTGCCCTAACGTACCCTCTGTAATGTACCCTCGTGCCCCCAGATTGACCGCGATGGCAATGGGTACCTGGACGTGTCTGAGCTGCGGGGGGCGCTGGAGGTGGTGGGGCTGAAGCTCCCCCAGTGGCAGGTCCGCAAGATCCTGACGGAGTACGACACAGAGACGTCGGGGCCTGATAAGGGCACGCTGTCCTTCAAGGAGTTCAAGCAGGTGGGCCTTAAGGGTAAGACTTTGGCCTCAAGGACACTGCATGAGATCGCAAGGCTTTAGGGGAATTTAGCATGTATGGCTAAAAAAAAACTTTCATTTACAGATGGATCATTTTGAAACTTGATACACTTATGTAAAATAGAATGCTAAGACTATTTTGTTCATGTGAATTTTTGGAAAAAAGAAAACGTGAAACTCGTAGAAAACGGCAGAAAGGGGGTACTCTCCTCGTTTAATTAACGTGCTACAACATCGTGGACGCATCATTGGATTCTTAAAAACCATATCTAAAATTCCCCAATCATTTTTTAGTTTATTTAATTATTTTATTTTATTTTTTAATTTTGACCCCTCCCTCCCTCCCTTTTTCAATATAAAATAAAAACAAAAATGGAATCGAAAAAAAAAAATGACTGAGCGATCTCAAGAGAATTTTTTCGTGAATGGTATATTGCTCAATGCTGTAGCTTGAAAATCATAGGCGGAGATAGGTTTGCAATCAGAACATTTTTTTAGTTATCATGAGAGCCAAAAAACAGAAATTTCTGATCATTGAAAAAACTGAAATTCCGATCTGAAAATTCTGATCATGTTCCGCTTAAGGGAAAACAGGTGGAGCGCAAGGGCAGATGGTGCAAGTAGTTATATTTTTCACGTATTACCCTCATAACCATTACCCTCCAGTCGTATAACCCTCTACAACCATTACCCTCCACAACCATTACCCTCCACAACCATTACCCTCCACAACCATTACCCTCCACAACCATTACCCTCCACAACCATTACCCTCCACAACCATTACCCTCCACAACCATTACCCTCCACAACCATTACCCTCCACCACCATTACCCTCCACCACCATTACCCTCCACAACCATTACCCTCCACAACCATTATCCTCCAGCCGAATTACCCTCCACCACCATTACCCTCCAGCCGTATTACCCTCCATAACCATTACCCTCGCCTCGCAGATGGTGCAGAACCTCAAGTCGCAGGACATCGCCAGCCACTTCAAGAAGATGGTGAACAAGAGGGAGAACCTCGAGGCCTTTGGGGGCATGAGTCTTGCTTCTGCTGAGGGTAAGAGGGGAGTGAGGGCATGAGTCTTGCTTCTGCCAAGGGTAAGAGGGGAGTGAGGGCATGGGTCTTGCTTCTGCCGAGGGTAAGAGGGGAGTGAGGGGCATGAGTCTTGCTTCTGCCGAGGGTAAGAGGGGAGTGAGGGGCATGAGTCTTGCTTCTGCCTTCGCTTCTGTCGAGGGTAAGAGGGGAGTGAGGGGCAGGCATGAGTCTTGCTTCTGCCGAGGGTAAGAGGGGAGTGAGGGGCATGAGTCTTGCTTCAGCTGAGAGTAAGAGGGGAGTGAGGGGCATGAGTCTTGCTTCAGCTGAGAGTAAGAGGGGAGTGAGGGGCAGGCATGAGTCTTGCTTCTGCCGAGGGTAAAAGGGGAGTGAGGGGCATGAGTCTTGCTTCTGCCGAGGGTAAAAGGGGAGGGAGGGTAGGACGAGTGAGGGTAGGGAGAGTGTGAGTGAGTGGGGGCGAGTAGCCTCATGCCCTCACGAGTGAGAGGATTTAGAAGCACGTGGGACGGGGGGAGGGTAGTCTGAGAGCGGACGAGAGGAGAGCCGTCTCCCCAGCGGGGAAGTGCGATGTGTTCGTGGGGGTAGACTGACCCCCCACTCTTCCTCCCTTCTTGAGGAATTGAAAAAATCCCCTTCGTAGAGTAGGTATATCGCCACGCATTGCTCAATTCGCGGCTCCCATTCTCCCCAAGTGCGACTCTTCCCTACAAATAATTTTTACCTTCCTCCTCCTTACCTTCCCTCCTTACTTACTCATTTTTAGTCTTCTCACCAAATTTCTTATTAATTAACTAACCCCGCCCTCCATACCCTCCCCTAACCCCCGCACCCATCATCCAGGACCTGTATGCCTTCCCTCCTAATTCATGACCCACCCTCCCACTCCCATGCCCCCATGCATGACCCACTCCCCCACTCCCCCTAAGACATGACCCACTCCCCCCCCAGGCACGACCCACTCCGTACGGCTGGAGGAGCAGCTTGCCTTCAGCGACTGGATCAACAGCAACCTGGGGCACGACCCTGACCTGGGGCACCTGCTGCCTATAGGGGGCGAGGGCAAGGAACTCTACGACAGAGTCAAGGACGGCATCCTGCTGTGGTGAGGCTGTGGTGCTGTGGTGAGGGCATCCTGCTGTGGTGAGGCGTGGTGCTGTGATGAGGGCATCCTACTGTGGTGAGGCGTGGTGCTGTGATGAGGGTATACTCTGTCTCTTATACACATCTAGATGTGTATAAGAGACAGACCGTACCCTCGTGCCCCCACTACCGTACCCTCGTGCCCCCACTACCGTACCCTCGTGCCCCCACTACCGTACCCTCGTGCCCCCACTACCGTACCCTCGTGCCCCCACTACCGTACCCTCGTGCCCCCACTACCGTACCCTCGTGCCCCCACTACCGTACCCTCGTGCCCCCACTACCGTACCCTCGTGCCCCCACTACCGTACCCTCGTGCCCCCACTACCGTACCCTCGTGCCCCCACTACCGTACCCTCGTGCCCCCACTACCGTACCCTCGTGCCCCCACTACCGTACCCTCGTGCCCCCACTACCGTACCCTCGTGCCCCCACTACCGTACCCTCGTGCCCCCACTACCGTACCCTCGTGCCCCCACTACCGTACCCTCGTGCCCCCACTACCGTACCCTCGTGCCCCCACTACCGTACCCTCGTGCCCCCACTACCGTACCCTCGTGCCCCCACTACCGTACCCTCGTGCCCCCACTACCGTACCCTCGTGCCCCCACTACCGTACCCTCGTGCCCCCACTACCGTACCCTCGTGCCCCCACTACCGTACCCTCGTGCCCCCACTACCGTACCCTCGTGCCCCCACTACCGTACCCTCGTGCCCCCACTACCGTACCCTCGTGCCCCCACTACCGTACCCTCGTGCCCCCACTACCGTACCCTCGTGCCCCCACTACCGTACCCTCGTGCCTGTCTCTTATACACATCTAGATGTGTATAAGAGACAGGTGTGGTGCTGTGGTGAGGCTGTGGTTTTGTGGTGAGGGTGTGGTGCTGTGGTGAGGGTGTGGTGCTGTGGTGAGGGTGTGGTGCTGTGGTGAGGATGTGGTGCTCTGGTGAGGGTGTGGTGCTGTAGTGAGGGTGTGGTGCTGTGGTAAGGGTGTGGTGCTGTGGTGAGGGCGCCCGGGGGTTAGTTAAATAATTTTTAATGATTTAGCGATGATATACCATTGATGTTGCAGCAACTACTAACTACTCATGCCCCGACGCCCAAATATATCGCTAATAAATCATGAATATTGTCAGGAAGTTGTTGAATAATATCCATATAATATTAAGAGGCAGTAGTTATATAATTTGTAATGATGTAACGTTGATGTTGCAGCAAGATGATGAACTTTTCGTGTCCAGACACCATCAACTATAATTTATAATAATGTAATGATGATATAACGATAATGTGATGATGATGTGATGATATTGCAGCAAGATGATGAACTTCTCGTGCCCGGACACCATCGACGAGCGCGCCATCAACAAGCGCAACCTGACGCTGTATACCAAACACGAGAACCTGACGCTGGCCCTCACCTCTGCCCAGGCCATCGGCTGCAATGTTGTTAATATAGATGCCCATGACCTGGCTAAAGGTGGGTTAAAAGGGGCTAGAGGTGGGTTAAACGAGGCTAAACGTGGGTTAAAGGGGGGTAATGGTTGGTCAAATGGGGCTAAAGATGGGTTGAAGGGGGTTAAAGGTGTGGGTCAAAGGGGATAAAGGTTGTGCTGCTCCTGCTGCCCCAGCGTAGCTGATGCTATTTATAATCTATATATATATTATATGTAATATATATATTATTATATATAATAATATAATATATAAAATGATATAATATATAATTGTCAACCCCACCTTGCGTTTGTCGTGACGTGGTTCCTCCCCCACCAGGCAAGCCACACCTGGTGCTGGGGCTGCTGTGGCAGATCATCCGCATCGGGCTCTTCAACCAGATCTCCCTGGAGCACTGCCCCGGCCTGGCGCTCCTCCTGCAGGAGGGGGAGGACCTCAACGAGCTCATGAAGCTCTCCCCTGAGGCCATCCTGCTGAGATGGGTCAACCACCACCTCGAGGCAGCTGGCACCAACAGGTGGGTGAACCACCACCTCGAGGCAGCTGGCACCAACAGGTGGGTGAACCACCACCTCGAGGCAGCTGGCACCAACAGGTGGGTCAACCACCACCTCGAGGCAGCTGGTACCGCCACCTCGAGGCAATTATTTATGAACTTGCAATTTAGGCAAATAAATCATAATTACTAGAGATGATTACTTATATTATTTGCTCAATAATGATTACTTACAAAATTTGCTGTCATTAGAAAGAGCCAATTGTACAAGCTACTGACGTAATGACACAAGATAACTTCAACGTACATTGATTATCGTCGTAATTATAGTCAATTATCAACAGTATAATTATTGTTGATAATTATGTCAATCTTCAAATTGAGTATAATTTAAATAAATCCAATTATACACGCTTCTGACGTAACCACATATAATGTACCTAACTTCAAAGTATATTAATTGATATCATAATTATAGTAAATTATTAATTATGACCACCGTAAAGTATATGATCATAATTATAGTCAGTGACCACTTTAAAGTATAACACAACTACCTCCCCCCCAGACGCTGCCACAACTTCACGTCGGACGTGAAGGACTCTGAGATCTACACGTACCTGCTCAAGCAGATCGCTCCTGCCGACTCCGGCGTCACCATGGAGGCCCTCTCGGTCAGTCCTTAGCTCCTTCACATCCTTGAGATCCTCGAGATCCTTAATCTTGTTGAGACTCTCGGGACCCTTGAAACCCTTGATATCCTCGAGACCCTTGAAGTCCTTAAGGTCCCCGAGGTCCTTAAGACCCCACCAGGCAGCGCGTAGCTGAGGTTCAGGTAGCTGCCCACGGCCTCGCTGGAGCGCTGCATGGGACACCTTGCATGCTCCGCTCTCCAGCGACCTTTGGACTGAATTTAGATACTAGTTAATATATTATAATAACTAGCTGCTAAAACTAGCTATAGCTGCTACTTTAATATCTAATACAATATCAGGTATATTATGATTATTATTATAATATGACTCTGGTGGGCATTATTCCTATGGACACTATGTCGGTTATCACTATCCCTATGTTAGACGCCATCAGCAGTGCCCTGCGATGCCCGTAGCTCTAACCAGGGGCCGTCCCAATATCTCATCCTTGGTTTGGCTTAAAGGCCAATTGGCCGACGGAGGCCTGAACCTGCAACTGTTTTTAGCGCAATTTTCTCATTTATGGGAAAAAGGCGCTATTGTGCTTGCCATGTCCTTCTGTCTGTCTGTTTGTCCGTCCGTGACTTCACGTTTTCATCGACGAGAAAATGCGCTCTCTGTCACTCACTGCAGTGAGTACTGAGTTATATTTTATTATAGTATGGTAGCAAGTATCACACCGACCTCCCCATCCCTCACTAATCCCTCTTCCCACCCCCACACCCATGACTTCATAATCCCCACGATCCCTGAACTAATCCCTCACTCATCCCTCCCCCAGACGCAGGATTACATCCATCACTCACCCCCATCCCTCCCCCAGACGCAGGATTACATCCATCAGTCGCGGGCTGAGCTCATGCTGCAGCACCCCTCACTCACCCCTCACTCACCCCTCATCCCTCCCACAGACGCAGGACTACATGTCGCGGGCGGAGCTGATGCTGCAGCAGGCAGACAAGCTCGGATGCCGCAGCTTCCTGACGCCCCAGGACGTGGTCGAGGGCGTCTACAAGCTCAACGTCGCCTTCGTCGCCAACCTCTTCAACAACCATCCCGCCCTCGACAAGCCTGACGACGTCGACCTGGAGGCCTACGAGCACATAGAGGAGAGCAGAGAGGAGAAGAGTGAGTGGGGATAGTGGTAGGGAGTGGGGCGAGTGGCAGGTAGTGGGGGAGGGTGTGGGACCAACCTCTTCAACAACCACCCTGCGCTGGACAAGCCTGATGACGTCGACCTGGAGGCTTACGAGCACATAGAGGAGAGCAGGGAGGAGAAGAGTGAGTGGGGCGAGTGGCTGGAAGTGGGGGGAACAATCCCAGATCGACCTCCCCTGCAACACTACCAGCGGCGAGAAGCAACAGCATCGTGCATCAGGTGGCCCAAATGAGGGCGGATGAACGATAATCAGAGGCGGCGATCCATCGTGGCCTGGGACTGCTGTGTCCCAAACAAATACTAAGGATACTAAGGGGCGAGCGGTAGGGACGGGGGGAGGGAGTTGCAGAGTAGCTGTGAGTGGAGGAGTGGTAGTGATTTGGGAATAATTTTGAGGACAAGATTGAGGTAAGTAAAAATTGAGTGAGTAGTATGACTGTGTACTGTGCTGTACACATCACTAAATCTCGTGTGATGTGCAGCGTACAGGAACTGGATGAACAGCATGGGTGTTAACCCGCACGTCAACTGGCTGTACAGCTGTACACATCACTAACACTCATGTGCTGTGCAGCGTACAGGAACTGGATGAACAGCATGGGTGTTAACCCGCACGTCAACTGGCTGTACAGCGACCTGGCGGACGGCATCATCATCTTCCAGCTCTACGACATCATCAGACCGGGCATCGTCGACTGGAAGCGCGTGCACACGTGAGTGAAGGGCAAGTGAAGGCGGCGTGAGTGAAGGGAGCGTGAGTGAAGGGCGCGTGTAGGGGGCGTGAGTGAAGGGCGCGTGAAGGGGGGCGTGAGTGAAGGGCGCGTGAGTAAAGGGGGCGTGAGTGAAGGGCGCGTGAGTGAAGGGCGCGTGAGTGAAGGGCGCGTGAGTGAAGGGCGCGTGAGTGAAGGGCGCGTGAGTGAAGGGAGCGTGAGTGAAGGGCGCGTGAGTCGTGGGTTCGAGTCCTGCGTGACGCGGTAATATGGGCGTACCAGTGTTCCGTGATTAAAGTCTCATTATCTGGACAACATGACACGTTTATTCTTCTGTCAGGAAGTTCAGCTATAACCCCCCCTTCCCCCGCAGAAAGTTCAGCAAGCTCAAGAAATTCATGGAGAAGTTGGAGAACTGCAACTACGCCGTGGAGCTGGGGCTCAAGTTGAGGTTCTCCCTCGTGGGCATCGCGGGGCACGACCTCGCCGACGGCAACCCCACCCTTACCTTGGGTAGGTGCCTCCCTTGGGACCTAATCCCTCCCTCACCTTGAGTTACTCTCGCCCCCTCCCACTCCTTGATTTGCCTCACTCCTTTACCCTCCTTCACTCGCTGTTCCCACTCCATCGCCGTTGCTTCCCTCACTTATTAGAGGGCCACTCACAAGACCTCCCTCATCGATCCCTCCTCTCACCCTACCTTTACCCTCTCCTCTCTTGCCTTGCCCTCATCCTGCCCTCACCCTCACTTCACCCTGCCCTCAACTGCCTTCACTCTCTCCTCACCCCCCCTCCCCTCAGGGGGGATTTCTGACGGGTGTCTGTGCTCGTCAGAAGTCCTATGGGATTTCGCGCTCCTAGGGGGATTGTTCCTGAGCGCCCCACCGCTGAGCTCGCGGTGTTCCTCCTTGTCACTTCGTCTCTTTGAGATGCTAACGCTGCTTCTTTCGAGCCAGCTTCAGCGGGCTGGACATCTGAGACCTTCCGCCCCTTGTGGGTGATGAATAATTGAGACCTTCCACCTCTATGGTGATGTTCATCTTGACTTTCGGTGCGAGATAGCTAAATAGCTGAAGCGCTAGTTAATATTTGGCTACTAAACTAACTAAACTCTCCTCACCCTCCCCTTTCCCTCACTTCACCCTGCCTTCACTCTCCCCTCACCCTGCCCTCTGTTGCAGCGCTCATCTGGCAGCTGATGAGGGCCTACACGCTATCAGTGCTGTCACAGCTCACCGAGCAAGGCTCGCCCGTCATCGAGAGCGAGATCATCAGCTGGGTGAACACCCGCCTGTCCGAGGCCGGCAAGACCTCCTCCATCAGGAGCTTCCAGGACTCCAGCATAGCCTCCTCTAAGGCCATCCTGGACCTCGTAGACGCCATCAAGCCGGGCACCATCAACTACGACGTCCTGCGGCCTGACGAGACCGACGAGGTACAGTGCGAGGCGGCAGAGACTAGCCGTAGTTGCGGCTTCATTAAATTACAACACTTCTCTTCAACTTCACTTCTTGTTTGTCTGCTACAAATCTTATAATCGTTGTTTAAACACACTTTACCTGTCCATTTGATATGAAATTCAATGGTCAGGTTAAATATGAGTAAAAAATCAATTGGAAAAATATGAATTTTTTTCCAATTGATATGAAAGTCGCAGACAATGCTTGAATCAATTGAGAGAACAAATCATTTAAAAAATTGAACATTTTTTTTAAACATAACAAAATAAAAAAAAAACAATTTGTAATATTGAGAATAAAATCAGAAACTCATTGTAAATGTGTAACATCGAAGACACCGGCCTCTTTAAAAGTAATTTTTAACGTCTATTATTATTTGCAAATCGATTGTCATTCTTTTACTTATGCTCCTTGACCCTCGTGCATCATACCCTCTATCCACCCCCTCATGCCCCCCACTAACACCCCTCCCCCCACAGGACAAGCTGGGTAACGCCAAGTACGCCATCTCGATGGCCCGCAAGATCGGCGCGCGGATCTACGCGCTGCCTGAGGACATCACGGAGGTCAAGCCTAAGATGGTGATGACGGTGTTTGCCTGCCTCATGGCCCGGGATTACCTACCTAACATGGACTCCAAACAGTGATGACAAGCCCTGCAAACATGGCGCCAAACGTCCACACCAAACGTCCAAATTTCGAAACGTCCACACCAAACGTCAAAACGTCCACACCAAACATCCAAACCAAACGATGAAACGTCAAACGTCCACGTCAAACACGGACTGTTATGAATGTCAGCAATGAAATATAATGTCGTATATTTCCCGCATAACGAAATTTAGCATAGCCTTCTTTCCTGTATAGCATACAGGGCTATTGTGCACACGAGGCCGCACAGAGCCTCTGTGTACATTCTATACGGAGACCTCTTACATTGTATACATACATTGTCCATTGTATACATGAATCCTGTGTTATTGTATGCAAAGAATCAGTCCAGTCGCCAGGTATCCCTTGTATTTAACACGCCCATCTTGTATAGCTATACAGTTTTATACGTCGCGTGTAGGCGGCATTTCTAGTTTTATACGCATTAACACGCTTCCCGTGTTGCCACATCTCCCTTTCATTCTTTGTTGATTATTCTATTTATCTCACTTCTTCTCTTCACTTACTGATCTCATCTTCCCGCTCTTCCTTTGAATACTTTCCACTGTAGACCTCCTTTACACCCTCTTTACACCTTCTTTACATTCCCTTTACACATTCTTTACATCCCTCTTTACTTTCCTCTTTACACCCCCTCATCACCCCGTCTTTCACTATCCCGTACCTTTTAAACATTTTATTCTTTTTAACTTTTCTCTCCTCTCCCTCCTCTCCCCTGATTCGTTTCGACAACCTGGTACATCTTGTATCTGTGGCGACGGTTGTATCTGCCAAGCCAAGATTGTATTTGTACGACTAGTCTTGTGCGACAATCTAGAAATTGTCTAGCCAACAATTGTCGCTTACCAAGTAGTATCCATACCTGAAAATCACAACAATGTCCAGTTTCTGTTAATAATTTTAACCCCCAAGCTTAATTCAACGTCGAGGTTTCAATTTAAACTTTTTTAATGACGTAAAATCCAATAATTTTCTTAGCTCATACTTCTTGTTTAATTTGTGCCGAGGTAATTTTAATATTGAAATTAAATAGACATTTTAAATTTGCGTGTATGGTTGTTGAAAGACGTTTGAATTGTAAAGTTTCCAGACTAATGCGTTATAGTCGTGAGTTTGTGGGGAGAGTTGGAGTTTTTACTTACTTATTATTACTTACTTGCTTAAAGTTTAAGCTCTTTTATTTTACTGACCAACATTTAGATTGTTTTTACTTGCGCTTTAGAAATGAATTGTGTTTTGGGCTGTCAAGATTTGCCTTATTGCTCCGACCAGCCAAGCAACCTGACGCAGACTTGATAACTTGTTGACGGCTTGCCAAGCAGGCTGATGGAGGCTTGCCGACCGGTCAACGGCTTGCCAAGCGGCCTTAGAGGCTTGTCGATCGATTAATGGCTTGCCAAGCAGCCCGATGAACCAATTAGGCTTGCCAAGCAGGCTGATGGAGGCTTGCCGACCGGTTAATTGCTTGCCAAGCGGCCTGACGGAGGCTTGGCAACAGGTTGGCAAAAACAGGCACCACTCAACCTGACTATGGTTGAGTGGGGCACAAGTGTGTGTGGTCACACCTGGTCAAGAGGTTGCAAGTTGGCTGTGGTTGAACAAGTTTGTGGTTTGGTCGCAGTGCCTGATTTTGTATATATTCGCTGGTAGACCATCACTCCCGGTGCTGTGGTGGACCTAAGTCGTTCTCTTCTAAGCCTTGTTTGTTGTTGTCGAGCTTCCTTCTTCTCTTGTTTGTTGCTCTCTTCTGCTACTGCTTTGTTATTGATTCTGATCCAACTCACTTCCCTCCCTCCCTCTCTTCCCATGCGACTCACTTCCCTCCCTCCCTCTCTTCCCATGCGACTCACTTCCCTCCCTCCCTCTCTTCTGATGCCACTCACTTCCCTCCCTCCCTCTCTTCTGATGCCACTCACTTCCCTCCCTCCTTCCTGCCACTCACTGAACTTACGGTCACTTGTCCAGTTCTGATTAATATCCCACAGTGTATCTGATTTTCAGCGAACTATAATGCTAGTTTTACGTAGTAATTTAATGCTGAGAAAACATCTTTTGTAAAATAAACTAAAGCCCTTCTATTGAACTTATGTATATTTTCTTATGCCCTCGAGTCTTATGTTATATTTCTTCCACTAATATTAATATTGCTTTCATGTTGAGACTTTTTATGTATGTTAAGAACTGCCAAAAATTCATGTGTACAATATTTTTGTGCGCATTGCTTGTCAACGAGAAATTCATTCCAATTTTGATGTCTGGTTTTACTGTCCTGTTGCAAGGCCACCACGTGATGTGAACGCCCCAGTAACGTAAATAATAATATAATTAATAATAATAGCGGTTTCAGCGTTTATTAGGCCGTAGGCCTGTCGCCGATTCTTAACATCGCAGAACATTAACAGCATTTTGCGGTCTCGAACTTGCAACTCACTGCTCCAATTCTGCTGTGCTTAACCGCCCGGCCTCCTCGCCGATTCTGACCAGAAACTGGCGCACAGAGCTGGGATCGAACCGCGCCTCTCTGCGCCAATCTTGGTACTCTGAACTTTTACCGCTGGGCCACATGTTCTTTCCAAGTAAGCTATTAATAACGAGAATTCAAAGTTGGTATGAAAGTTTCAGCGATCCTTAAATTTTGGTATCCATGAGAAACAAGAGAAGATTCAAAGCCTGTTTCTATTTGAATTTTCAAAAAAATATACAGCCAGCTTGATCCTGAGTCTGGTGCAGAACCTGTGAATGGAAAAATTGGTTCCTTTTTCTGTAATGTTGTCCCTAAATAGAAAGCTGACTCATATCTGGCGTGCTCCACGAGAGCAAAGACGATCTAAAATGCGGACCGAAAGAGAAAATACAAATGCATAAATGTCTTTTATGATGTTATCTGTGTTATTGAGGCAACATGTATTAGAAATAAAACAGGTAGTATTTCCACTTTCTTGGCAATAATTATTGATTGATTTTGGCTTTCAGTGCATGATTTTAAAAAAAAACTTTGATTTAGGTCAGTGTGTAAATTAAAAACATTGAAACCTAGCTGGAGGCTCAAAAACCTAGATCTGAGTTTATTAACCTAGCGCTGGCAGCAAGTGAGCGTTGCGAGCAAAGTACGTAAGTGTATGGTGAAATTTTGCCGAATCTGATTCGCTAGTCAGAATCAGCTAACCGGACTCGGGAGTCAGATACTGATACGCTAGTCACGGCTAGTGTATGGCGCGCTTAAGATGTACAGACCGGCAGGCGACCAACTAGCTTTTCTGATGACACACCCACAGACAAGAAAGACCGCGCTCGACATTGCAGCCAGCCACATGCACTCCCTCAGGCCCTCGTGTCGTCGCGTGCCGGTCCCAGTCGTGGATTATGTACCCCCATGGATAGACATTGACCTGTATGTTAATACAAACTTGGACATTGCGCCAGGAGTAGCGCACTCAGCACAATTTAAGGCCACTTTGGGGGAAATCTACAGTGGATCAGTAGTTATCTACTGCGATGGTTCTCCCTTACTGTTCCAGAGTCTGCCGCCTGCGGTGTATAAATTCCCTCTCAGAATAGTGCTACCTCCTGGCGCCTACATCCCGACTGCAGTGTGCTGACCACTGAAGTTACTGCAGTTTATCACTCGTTGTTTATTATACAGGAATCTGATCAAACCCACTGGGTTCTATGCACCGACTCTCGTTCAGCGCTGCTCCTCTTGAGTACAGCACAGGGCCCTCCAACCAGATGCTCCCTGCTGGCCTTAAAAAATTCCAGGCTGCTCAGAAGGCTTAATCTTCAGCATCATGTAACTTTGCAGTGGGTAAAAGACCATGCCGGCATACTTGGAAATGAGACAGCAAATCCTTCAGCCAAATTGGGTCATGGACTAGATCATAACACCTATCATACCATAGAATATTCCGATGCTCTCCACTGTCTTTGCCTTAAATTTCTGTCTTACTGGGATGAAGATTGGTCATGAACCGTTGCTGAGTCTGGCAAAGGCTGACACCTTGCATCAATTAGAACAAACTTGCAGCCAATACCTGGGTCATGTAGGGGTAAAAGCCTACCTGCATCGCTTCAAAATGCCATACTCACCACTGTGCGGGGATTGCTGAGTGGAAGAAACTATCGATAATTTCTTGCTAGAATGTAGCAGCTACTGAGATGCTCGTCAACTAATGCAGCAGACCTTGGCAAACATTGGCATTGAAAAGCTGACAGTGCGCGCTCTGCTTGGAGGTGAAGACATTGCAAAACGGGAGCAGCACCTTATCGTCGGGGCGGTACCTAACTGCATTCGTCGCAATCACCGGCAGACTGGAAACACTGTGAAGTCACAATAACCTAAGCGAACAAAGCGGCTCTCAACTGATAATGCAATCACAACCCTGAAACAAATTGTCATGTCCAGGTGTGACAACCGACCTGTGTGAGGTCATTTACAACCATGATATACTACACCTCAAAGAAGACATCATCATTAATAGTGATATTACTGATTTTTTGTTTACATCAATCCAAAGAATTCTGTAAAAATGTAAAATTTATTCAAATATCAGATCATAACTTTATTTGTTGTACTTTTCTAAGATCTCAGTGTCAATTAGGCACAACCAGTCGACATCAATGAAGTTTTTCCGGTCGGACGTTTCGCGAATGTGCTAGAATCGGTGAGTCCGAATAATTCGTTGGGGAAGGGGACGTACGGTGATTTCGAAGTTTGATTATTGAGATTTCATCGGCTTCTTGGAAATTTAACCTTGAATTTATATACCAATTTAAAATTATTATTTGAAAAATTCATAAGGATCGTAAATTTGAATTTGTTTTCACATTGTGAAATCAGGGGCACTTGCCTCATGTCCTTACCTAGCCCAGACTCCAGAGAGCCCCAGACCCAGGGCCAGGGCCAGATGTAGCCTAATCAGACACAGACACCAGCCCCAGGCAGCTGAGGCAGGGCCGCAGGTGGCAGGGCCCGCAGGGGCAGGTCAGCATTGCTGTTTCCTGGCAGACTGGCACAATGGGCATTGGGCAAGCACCAAATTAGGAGACAAAGTAATTTACCTCAACCTCAGAACTCTGATAAAAGAAGTTCTTTTTGACCAAAAGCAACATTTACTCAACTTTGTGAGTCCCAATCCCAAAGATCAACCATCTTTTTCAGAACTGCTTTCATAAATAATAAACTATAAAGTTTCATGGCTTTACTAAGCCAAAGATTCTTCACTCATCAAGTGACATCAACCTAGTTTGCCTGAGGAAAGAGAAAGACTGTGGTGGCTAACCGGTAGGCGCCTAGGCGGTAAGCCGGTAACCGCTAAAGGCTAAAGCCTAGTCATGGGTTGGAGTCTGTCAGTCTGGAAATTGGATTCAGAAGTTACAAAGAGCTGTCCATTCCCTAATTAGGGTAAACGCGGTATATTCCGACATCGTAGGTAATTCCGTCACTTCTCTAGTTTTTCCTTTATATTAAGCTTTGTTTTAGTTCTATGCGTTCATTGATGGTTGAAATGGTGACGTCATCCACACTCAGGAAGATGTATATAAACGGGGAAATTTCTCGCGTAAATCAATCTAATTATATTTTTTTCGCGCAGACGTTCGTGCAAATCACGGTCATCGATTCCGCGCCGCGCAGCACTTGGCGCGGGCCGCGGAGCCGTCCGACCATAGTGGCAAAGCAGAGAGTTTTTTAGACGCTCACTCAAGTTCATTTTTGAGTCCTATATGTAGACCATTGAAGTATCCTGGATACCAGCATTATCATACTTAAGAAATTGGTTTAAATCTTGAGTAAATGAGGAAATTAAAAATGAACTGTTTCTAAAAAAGCTCTGGTTTGCCACTATGCGTCTGACGCAGTTTTGATTTAGACACAGTTTTCATCTGAATGGAATGGCAACATCGTCTGTAGATGATTTCAAGTAACGCTGAACCAGCATTGCCAGATGGTTTATTTCTATACCAGATTTCACAAATCTGGTACTTTCAAAAGGTGTCTGGTATGAATATTTTAGATCTGGTATATATGCCTAAATCTGGTATTTTTCTGGTATTTTCTGATTTACTGCAAATTTACTGCATTTAGTTCCACCTCTGAAGTTTGAACTTCCTCCAGCGTAGGCGTGGATTATATTATTATTTATATGAATTGCCTTCGGAGCGGCGCGATTAGAGCTTTCCCGCCATTTTTGGAACCGCAAGTTTACCGCAAGTTTTCATGTCAACCGGAACTCGAACACCACAGCAGAGAGTATTTAATATTTTATGCAGCTAATGAATTTCGCAAACTTTGCTGGAAGAGAGATTATTGAATTTTAGAGAAAAGGCGGGATAATTCAATGAAGGCTGGTGGCAGAGCTGCAATCTTGATACTCTATTGTGATTCATGCTATGATAACCTACGTAACAATTTTCATATGATAGTTATAATTTTTGCACATTCAAAGTACACATGAGTCATGACATAACATAACTCATAACGCACCCAGATTTGGAAACCATTATTGCTCAAATGAAGCAAAAATAAATGACAGACCATTGACTTATCTTGCAAATATATATATTCATATTATGTATCACATAGCATAATTACGCTTTGTAATTATGCCATATTGACCTAATTTGTATAGTCCATTTACGCGCATTGTTATTAGGTATTGATCGTGTCGATTTTGCCGGCCGGGAAGGATGTCGGTAATGTAAATGTAGTCACAACATTGGCATGCAGGATTGTACTGTTGACATAGAGGTTCATACCGTACTTGCCGCAACGCGCAACCAGTCCAGTCATTCATTAGAAGGCACCGATGGCACATCTAAAGCCATGTTGCCTTCTTTAGTTCTGTAATTCATGTCCGATTGAATTGTGATCTATGAATGAATATTCATTACTGTGCTGACTCTTAGAACCTGAGTCCTGAGTTGACACGGTAGCAATCTACCTAGTTAACTCGTATCCAACCACAACATAGTGCGGATACACGTTTGTGTGTACAGTACAGTGTGATTACATAATTTGCATTGCCGTGCATCCATATTTAAACTATTTTAGCTTTCTAAAAGTACGGCGCTGTCGGCGCACGGCGCATTTTTTTTACCGGCATAGTATGGCGCACCGCGCAGGTTGTTAAAATGACAATATAAATTCCTGCGCACCTGGCACATCTTCCTGACCATGGGACGTCATACATTTGCGTGTCGAAATACTGCAAAAACACTAGGTCTTGGCCATCTAGCAGGAAAATATTGAGATCCAAAGAGAGACAATGCATGCCACGTCATACTAGTATGGAATATATCTACTTGGCGAGCCGCGACTGAATTTTTCAAGCCGTGGTTTTATGGATTTGCCAGCCGTGATTCTGTAATTAAGTAGTGTTCAATATTCGTTAGTGTTCTAATTCAAAGCCGTGTTGTATCCCAATACAGCTCACACAGCAAACGGAATTTGTTCTAATTCAAAGCCGTGTTGTATCCCAATACAGCTCACACAGCAAACGGAATTCGAACACGTGGATGTCGGTAATACGTATCAGTTAAATTTGAAGCGCTGACTCAATACGACTCACCACGTGTCGGATGTTGCCACACAAAGTGACGGAATATAGGTTTTTGGTAGGTTTCCATTCTAAAGGCTTTTTAATAAATATGGTAACATTTTGTGACGTTTCATCGTTGCTAACGTGTAGTGAAGTGTTTTGAGAGTCACGTGAAGGCAACAGAACTTACGTAACGCATACGTTTTTTTTTATAGTTTTTCATTTCTCGATGCAACCTTAAAGTGTCGGAATATACCGCGTTTACCCTAATATGTATAAATCTGTATTATGTATTGTTGGTTACTAGTTTGAGTAAAGAATATGTCATTAGCTATGTCATATGATGATGATATGAAGCATAATGAAGGTTCAATATGTTTATTTGATGCCCAATGGATTGAAGAATGATGACAGTGAGGAGTGAGGACTAAGGCTTGGTAGCAAGTGGTAATTCAGTTTTGATAGTTATGCTTTGAAATGCTGAATTACATTATAAGAATTGAGTTCTAGAGAAGAACTTGGCAGCTTATCTCTCATAATCCTTGTAGTTGTGAGTAGTTAGGCTATGTCAATTCTAAAAAGAAAAATGAAGGTAGCTAATGCATGACTGGGCAGACTGGCCAATGGCCATTGTTGCGGAATGTTGCCCAATGCCCAGGCCTGCTGGAGTCAGGAGTGCTGGTCTCTGGAGCTGGTGCACTGAGCACTCTAAACAGAATTCATTATTTTAAATGACTATTAGAATGAAAAAGTATTTTTGTCTTTAATTGAATTTTTATTATTTAGAAATTAGACAAATAATGTTCATGCTTGATAATTGTTACCTACTGTTTTTTATTTAATATTTTACAATTGCATAATAGTAAATATTGAATTAGTAATTGCATAATACTATGATAATAGTAAATATTATTTTGTGGCCTCAAAGGTAGTTGAATTTTAGCTAATAAGGTCAAGTGAAGCTACAAAAAATGTTGTTCAGCAAGCTAGGGGATTTAATAAAATTAGTTGTGACATTCATAAGAAATGATAGTGCAAGTTATAAATTCAAGTCACTACAGGCCAATCCTTCCAAGCTCCAATACTAATAGCCAAACTGCTTTCTCAATTGCTAATAGATATTGAGAAGTTCAGATTCTGTATTCATTATACTTCAAGCTGAAAATCATTCTAATCATCCCAACTTTGAAGGATTTGAGAGCAGAGAGCTCATGTTGCCATGCCCTAAACCAGGGTTGGAATTTTCCTACTTGTTTCTGAAATCTCATGGCTCCAATGTGATGAATTTTCAATACAATTGGAATCTTGCAGCCCAATTGTACACTTTTGTTAGCAATTAGATAGGAGGTAATTCATCTGGCAAAAATCTTGCAGTTCCGCATATTGGCAAAGCAGAGTTTTTTCATCTTTCCCTCAAGTTCAATTTTGAGTCCTATAAGTAGACCAGTAAAGTATCATGGATACCAGCATTATCAGTTTATCATACATAGAAAATTGGTTTAAATATTAAGTAAATGAGGAACTTAAAAATTAACTAATTCTAAAAAATCTCTGGTTTGCCACTATGTAGTTCCGGAAATGGCAGTAAAGCTCTAGTCGCAGCCTTAAAGATAGATGTTTTCCACACTTGCCCTAACCAGCCCTATGCCTATGGTGATGTGTCTGACTCAGTCCTCAGGCAAAGAAATAGTGCTGATATGCTGAACACATTATGTCAATGCAGAATCATTATTATTCTTATTGAACTAGTTTCATAGCTTGATAGTGGATATACTCAGCTTGACAAGACCAGATTTCCATCAAATAACCTGGCTCTTAGTAAAGCTCAAGCCAACTCCTTATTTGGAAGGACTGGCATTGCAAGCATGACAAAAAACACTGCTTGTAATTTACTGGTCATTACTATGAAAACATTGGAAAACATCTTTTCTCTTTGAGAAATGAAGAGCCTGGGCCCATGGAAGGTCAAATATAGACTCCCTGGCCCCTGCAAACCATTCAACTTCTGTTGGAGTCATTGGTCCCTTTGGCATGGAAGTTACCTATGACTATGAGGAACTTGCTGGCTTCTGAAGGACATCAAGGAGCAACTGCAGATAGAATCCTTGAGGAATGGAAGCTCATCATGTGTAACTTAGTAACTTCAGATACTGCAACTAACTGGGCTGGGAAGACACTGTCAATGTGCTAATCCCTACAGCTGACTCTCAATTTTGTGTCTCCAATGCCTATTCTCTACTTAACCCTCTACCGCCTGACACGAGTAACTGGAGCAATATTGTCACGCGCCAACTTCCCAAAAAGGATACGTTCTAGTGAGCGCAAAATGACTTGCACTGATGGTTGCTGCCACGTACAACTTTAAATGTTCTCTGTTGCGTACAAACGTCCTCAGGTTGCTACACTCAATAGTTTACATATAATTTAAGTTGAAAGTTATGTTCCTGGAGAGTGACATACTGCAGTAGAGGTTTAAATATATGTCCATGTTTATCATAAACCATGTTCTTTTACTTTATTTGTTATGTCTCTCCATCTTTGTTTTCTTAATTTGTTATTGTTCTTTTTTGCTGTTATTATTCTTCTTGCTTTTTTGTTGTTTGGTTGTGTTTATTTATTTATTTCTGTGTGTTGCAGATTTTCAGATAGGTATCTGTTGGACAACAGCTGAACCCTGTTTCAGGCAAGGGGCTGCATGGACTAGTTTCCAGTGCTCATATAAAAAGAAAAAAGAAATAAAAAAGTGTTACCGACTACTGTACTTTCATCATCAGCAATTTGACAGCCACAAGTTTGGTGCTCACTGCTCAGTTTTGTAGTGAAGATTTCTTGTGCCATCTTCTATCTAGCGTTTGAGTTTTAAACGTGATTCAGTCTGTGCAGCAATGGTGGATTACAGCAAGTGGAAGGATATAGAAGTGAGTTGAACTTCTCATCTGATTTATATTCATAATAACAAGTTCCCTCATAAAAATATTTTTCTGCATAATCAGGCAGAACCCCCCTGTAAATGAGACTGAAATGCTCATGCCCATGGACTATTTCACTTGTATTTGCAGTAGTTATTTAATGTCTTGAAAATATTGAAGAACAGCATTGATTTCACTATTTGCCAGGGTTTATTGTGAAACTAAAACCTGTTGGTGCCTGCAAAATATTTTTTTTTCATAATTTTGAAAAATTCTGCCCATGTTTGAGATTGTAGTGTTTGGTCTCATTCACAGGTGCTTGTAGCCACTGTACAGAGTTTGGAAATTGCATTGCCTAGATCTTGCCAATACTACCTACATGCAATGGGGTATTTATAGTGAAATGTGTAGGCAAGGTCTACTGAAGACATAGATTTTGGAGCTTGTGTGTTGGTACATATCTTTAAATATTTATCCATTTGTGAAGTTAGTAAAAAATGTCTGCTAATGATTATCATGATTTACATATTTTTAAAAGATAAGGTACTGTGAAAAGGGGGAACTTGAAACTTTTTGACATTTACATTTAAAAAATGAAAACTCTGTAACTCAAGAAGTTTTAGCCATAGAAAAGTTGTACTGGAGGCTTTTGAAGTAGGTACCATGAGATAACCTAGAAATGCAACAAAGATATATTTACTGTGTAACTATTTGTATTACCAAGAAAGTAACAGAGCATAATATAGTCCAAGTCATCCAATTTTATTGTATTGCTACACAGGTTATGGGTTATGAGGCCTAGTAGGTTATGGTAATCTAAGCATCACTCTATTATTTACATATCTAAGCATCACTCTATTATTTACATTTTTCTAAGCATCACTCTATTATTTACATTTTTCTAAGCATCACTCTATTATTTACATTTTTCTAAGCATCACTCTATTATTTACATTTTTCTAAGCTGCATCCCCATACAACTTTATAGATGCCAGATGTACATTGTCTCACAGAGAGCATTAAAATCTAAAATACTTGCATTGAAAATTCCACATAGACTAGAACTCATGCATATACTTAATTGAATAATTGATGCCTCACATTTTCTATTCCCCATCATCAAAATTTATATGGGAATAATTGCAACCTCAATTTTTATTCTCACTTAATTTATAAGTATGTGAGGCTTCAGTTTCTGCTCTTTGTGTTGTAGGAATAGTCCAATTGAATTACTATGTTGATCTTAAGAAAAAGAAAACTAAACATTGGTCCTGTTAACACTTAACATCAAAAGAATATTTTGGAATTTTCAGTTGGCTGTATATGTGTCACAGATGTGTCACAGTTGTCTATGTGTCACAGATGTGTCACAGTTGTCTATGTGTTGCAGATGTATTTCAGTTGGCTGTGTGTCACAGATGTGTCACAGTTGTCTATGTCTATGTGTCACAGATGTGTCACAGTTGTCTATGTGTCACAGATGTGTCACAGTTGTCTATGTGTTGCAGATGTGTCACAGTTGTCTATGTGTTGCAGATGTGTTTCAGTTGGCTGTGTGTCACAGATGTATTTCAGTTGGCTGTATATGTGTCACAGATGTGTCACAGTTGTCTATGTGTCACAGATGTGTCACAGTTGTCTATGTGTTGCAGATGTGTTTCAGTTGGCTGTGTGTCACAGATGTGTCACAGTTGTCTATGTGTTGCAGATGTGTTTCAGTTGGCTGTGTGTCACAGATGTGTTTCAGTTGGCTGTGTGTCACAGATGTGTTTCAGTTGGCTGTGTGTCACAGATGTGTCACAGCTCCATGTGTCGCAGATCTCGGATGACGAGGATGACACGCACCCCAACATTGACACGCCGTCGCTGTTCAGGTGGCGGCACCAGGCCAGAATTGAGCGCATGCAGGAGAAAGAGAAGGAAAAGAAGAAGCTCGAGGAGGAGAAGAGAAAGTCAGTATTGAAATTTATTATTAAATGCTTGAATGTAAAATAATTTAGGTTCACTTTACTACTAAAATACTCAAGTTTAACTACTACTGCCAGCAGTCAAGTGTCTATAATTCTAAAGTAGGTATTTATTAAAAAGAGAAGGAAAAGAAGAAGCTCGAGGAGGAGAAGAGAAAGTCAGTATTGAAGTTTATTATTAAATGCTTGAATGTTTAATACTTTATTTTTATTTTACTACTAAAGTACTGTAGTTTCATTACAACTGCCAGCAGTCAAGTGTCTATAATTCTAAAGTAGGTATTTATTATCAATGTCCTGATACTTATGTTGACTGTCAAGTATTGTAACACATTTAGGATCTTGTTTTATCAACACATCATCATAAGTTGTTGATGTTCCATGATTTTTATGTCAAATCATGGTCAAATAAAAATTTATGCTCATGCACTCTGCATAGATATATTATATATTAAAAAAATTCAGATATATAGGTATAAGATATATATTAGCAGCAGCAGTTTGATTGGCAGGTACGAGGCAAGGCTCGCAGAGGCCAAGCAGTAGCAGTTGTCCTCACAGTCCTGCAGTTGTCCTCACAGTTCTGCGGTTGTCCTCACAGTTCTGCGGTTGTCCTCACAGTTCTGCGGTTGTCCTCACAGTTCTGCAGTTGTCCTCACAGTTCTGCGGTTGTCCTCACAGTTCTGCGGTTGTCCTCACAGTTCTGCGGTTGTCCTCACAGTTCTGCAGTTGTCCTCACAGTTCTGCGGTTGTCCTCACAGTTCTGCGGTTGTCCTCACAGTTCTGCGGTTGTCCTCACAGTTCTGCAGTTGTCCTCACAGTTCTGCGGTTGTCCTCACAGTTCTGCGGTTGTCCTCACAGTTCTGCGGTTGTCCTCACAGTTCTGCAGTTGTCCTCACAGTTCTGCGGTTGTCCTCACAGTTCTGCGGTTGTCCTCACAGTTCTGCGGTTGTCCTCACAGTTCTGCAGTTGTCCTCACAGTTCTGCGGTTGTCCTCACAGTTCTGCGGTTGTCCTCACAGTTCTGCGGTTGTCCTCACAGTTCTGCAGTTGTCCTCACAGTTCTGCGGTTGTCCTCACAGTTCTGCGGTTGTCCTCACAGTTCTGCGGTTGTCCTCACAGTTCTGCAGTTGTCCTCACAGTTCTGCGGTTGTCCTCACAGTTCTGCGGTTGTCCTCACAGTTCTGCGGTTGTCCTCACAGTTCTGCAGTTGTCCTCACAGTTCTGCGGTTGTCCTCACAGTTCTGCGGTTGTCCTCACAGTTCTGCGGTTGTCCTCACAGTTCTGCAGTTGTCCTCACAGTTCTGCGGTTGTCCTCACAGTTCTGCGGTTGTCCTCACAGTTCTGCGGTTGTCCTCACANTGAACCATATAGACCCTGTGAACCATATAGACCCTGTGAACCATATAGACCCTGTGAACCATATAGACCCTGTGAACCATATAGACCCTGTGAACCATATAGACCCTCAAGCACAAGGAGCTCGAGAAGAAAGAGAAGGTATGTGTTTAAAAATTACTTTTTTAAAAGACAACACTTCTAAAAAATTCAGCGTCTGTGATGTTATAAATGTAGAACGAATGTCTAATTTCATTATCAAATATTAAAAAAAGTAATTTTGACTTTCATTTTTAAAATAAAAAAAAATTCCATAAGAGAAGTGTTGTAAAAAATGTGTGCGACTGTCCAAAAAGTAATGCACTTTGGCCCTGGTGCATTGTGGCAAACCAGTTCATTTGTAATTGGTAATTTTCTCATTTATTCAAGATTTAAACCAATATCTTATGTATGATGATGCTGGAATCCATGATACTTTGCTGGTCAACTTAAAGGACTTAGGATTAAAATTGAAGAAGAGTCTAAAACACTCTCTGCTTTGCCACTATGCTCTTGTGTGAACCATATAAACCCTGTTTGGCTTGGCAAAAGGGCATATATGTGCAGAAATTGTATCACTATTCAAACAATATGGCACATTATTTTTTAGTGTAGGCACCCTTGTATCTTGGATTTCTTCCACTCCAGCTTCTATCAAAGAACTACTTCAAAAATTTCCAAATTTTCCTTCAAAATGTGTCATTGATAAAATATTTATTTTTTCCCTGAGACCCTTTGTTCAATTACAGCAATAAAAAAATTATAACTAACAAGATAAGAACTTCTCTTACTTATCCAGCTACTGTGTGAACTGCAAGTAATTTTAAAATGACCAAGATTTCTGTGGTACAAGAAGCCTGTAACATATGGTAGGTATATATTTGGTGTCTCGTTAATTTATTTATATTTAAAAAGACAAAATTTGACATACCTAGTAATGTATGTATCCTAGTAAGTCCATAGGATACACACCCTAGTAATGTATGTAATGGATGGACCCCTAGTAATGGACACCCTAGTAATGTATGTAATGGATGGACCCCTAGTAATGGACACCCTATAATGTAAGTCCATAGGATACATACCCTAGTAAGGTATGTATCCTAGTGAGTCCACTATAGGATACATACCTAACCTAGTAATGTATGTATCGTATGATAAAGGTATAGGTGATTTTTTTCGATTCTTTTCGTTCTAATATGTAATTTCTAATTTATTTATTCATAAAATTAATATTAAATGTAAATTTGTCTTCAATGGCTGTGATTGGTAGCTTCTAGGTATCGTCCTGGTAAGTCTATCATCCCCTAGTATATATAATGTATGTATCCTAGTAAGTCTATAGGATACATACCTAGTAATGTATGTATCCTAGTAAGTCTATAGGATACATACCTAGTAATGTATGTATCCTAGTAAGTCTACTATAGGATGCATACCCTAGTAACGTTTGTATCCTAGTAAGTCTACTATAGGATGCATACCCTAGTAAGGTATGTATCCTATGACAAAGGTATCCTAAGTAGTTCATTGCGTGGCTAATGTGTTGTGTTGTGCAGCTTGAGCCGTGGAATGTTGACACCATCAGCAAGGAAGGCTTCGACAAATCTCTCATCAACAAAGACAGCAAACCCAGCAAGACTGAGAAGACTGAGGAGGAAATTGAAGCTGAGATGAGGGAGTTTATCAAGAAAAATGAATCGCTTATCAAGAAGTATGGACTTTACCGCCATTATGATGACAGCAAGAGGTTTATGCAGGTAGCTTTAACCCATTTACCACCTAATATGTACCCATATTATGACATATCATGGTACATTACCAGCCAAATGTGATTCATTACCATTGCTGTGCAGTTCTATTGTCCAGTTTGCTGTGTAATGTGCCCCTATTTCTCTCAGTGTCAGTGTTTTGTTGTCGCCTTAAGACCGAACTATTTTGTAGAGGCCTCAAGTGTTTTACATTATCATTTATATATTTTTTTCTGTATTTATTTTGTGCTCACTTTTCATTTTTTTAAAGATTTTTTCAAAATGTAACGTGCCCTCATAGTTCTTATTGCCCCAGACGTCTCGATAATCTATTCCTAGTATAATATCAGAAGTACAATTGTAGTACTAATAAGAATAATAATGGCAATAATAATATTAACAATTATAATAATATTAAAAAAAATAGTAATAATAAAAATGATAATAATAATAATAACAATAAAAATGATAATAGAGTAATAATAATAATAATAACATAGTAATAATTATAATAGTAATAGTAATGATAATAGTAATTACAATAATACTACTACTACTACTAATAATAATGATAATAGTAATAACAACAATAATAACAATAATAATAATAATAATTATACTAATGATAATAGTAATAACAATAATAATGAAAATAATAATAGTAATAGTAATGACAATAATACTAACAATAATACTAATACTACTAATAATAATGATAATAACAATAATATGTTACAGGAGCACCCCCACCTAGCATGCGAGTACACGGCCAACCACCTGGTGCTGTGGTGCATCAACCTGCAGCTCGAGGAGAAGAACGAACTCATGCGCCACGTCGCGCACCAGGCCATCTGCCTCCAGTTCATCCTGGAGCTCGCCAGCCAGCTCAACAGAGACCCCCGCTCCTGCATCTCTGCCTTCTTCGTCAGGTGGGTGCTAACAGAGACCATCTGCCTCCAGTTCATCCTGGAGCTCGCCAGCCAGCTCAACAGAGACCCCCGCTCCTGCATCTCTGCCTTCTTCGTCAGGTGGGTGCTAGGGACCAGCTCAACAGAGACCCCCGCTCCTGCATCTCTGCCTTCTTCGTCAGGTGGGTGCTAGGGACCAGCTCAACAGAGACCCACGCTCCTGTATCTCTGCCTTCTTCGTCAGGTGGGTGGCGGGAGGTTTGGTTGGTGCCACCAACCCTTGATTAGATTATTTCCAGCTATCCTTAATTAGGTTCATGGCATCTCTGTTGTATTTTAAGTCAAGGCCTCCATTGCCATGATAATCTACCTGTGCAACTGTCGCCACGAGGTCCAGGAAATATTAACTGCTACTTTCTTGCTTTCAATTCTCTTGCATAGTTTAGGCTCCCGGAACAGTGCTGTAGGGCTGACGGTGAAGTGCTTTTGTAGCAATCGCCCACGTGGAACTCGTGTAAGCAGTAGTAAATCGCTGTAGGTAATTTATATTTAACGCCTTATGGTTAGCCTCCGACCCGACGCCCTACTTCACAACCACAGGATCCTGCAAGTCTAATTCCTGCGCCCCAAACGCCTTCACTCCTCTGCCGCTGGAGCTAGCAGACAGTGGTCGAGTACCTATATATACCAATAATTCCCCCTTTTGCCGCAGGATCCTGCAGGCGGAAGCCGAGGGCCTGCTCCAATAACGCCCCTTCTGCCACAGGATCCAGTAAAACTAACGCCTCCATCCCGGCAGTAGGATACTGCTTCAATGCCTTCCCCCTCCTGCCGCAGGATCCTGCGTCACTAACGCCCCTCCTGCCACAGGATCCAGCAGGCAGAGCCCGAGTATCTGCGCGCCTTCAACGACGAGCTCGCGGCCTTCATCGCCCGCATCGAGCGACGCGCCGCAGAGAAGATAGAGGAGGCCCAGAAGGAGGTGAGGGGGGGGGGGGG